ACGTGATACCGCCTGAGCGGCTAGTTTCTTGCGCACCTGCAGCGCATCCTGTGAGAGGTAGCGCAAAAATAACAGGGTTGCAGAGGTCGCTACGAGTCTCTGTCAGACCTTAATGAGCAGGGTTACATGAAGATATTACAGTCATTTCATACATTACAGTTAATACACACAGCTAATCTTCACAATACAACAGTAAGGCATCTTATGCCTGAACGTTTCAGTCGAGTCCATCACCCTTAAAGACTACATCTTCAAGGGTGATGGCTGATTACATAGTCTTCAAATCTCTACTGTTTCTGCCAACTCTTCTGTATTCGACTGAAGAAGCCTACTGTGTAGGCGAAACGTTTCGGAATAAAGATACCCAACTGTTGCACATGTGTATTACCAACCTGTCGGTATTGTATACTCTTCTAATATTCACAATATATAGAAACCACTCAAGAAAATTCAAGTATCTCATTACCACTATACATTGGTTATTTAGAAGACACTCGTCAAAATAGTTGATCTATCCGGTGCAAAATGTGGATACGATATTTAGATTTCGGATATTTTGTCATTAACAGTGATATGATTTGATGTTTCATCTTGGGTTTATTTCGACGTTTCTCTAAATGGCTCGATGTTTGGACGTTCTTCACATTTTATGTCGTAGGTTTTCCATAGGCTGTATTTATAGCCTAGCTAAACTTAGTCTAGCAGAGATTACTCGTTATTGTGTATTGATGTTATTTCGTCTGTAGACACTGTTTTCTGTATTTGTCAGCATATAAGGCGCACAACAGAATTATCATAAAGTTAAATCAGTAATTATCAGTAACTGAGTTACGCTAAAGTGTGACTCAAAGCCTACCCTTGACGCTCATCTTGAGCATATAAGTCGCAGGCGGATTTTCCAAGACTTTATGGGGAAAAAGGTGCGCCTTATATGCTGGAAAATACGGTACCTGACACATTTCATTACAAGGTGTATGAACCTACGAGTTTTAGGACTCACTCGCCGTGGGTTCAACCCCCACCCATACCGTGGTTTGGATCAATTGGTTTCTGTGCTGACCTATTCTCTCCCAACTCATCTGCTAATACTCTCTTAACTTTCCTTCGTTTTTAACTTCTGTTTGGAAAGCAAACTTATTTTTGACATTTATTTACTGCTGGTTCAGCCAACTCATCGACTTTATCAAGCTTTGGGAAGCTTACGTCAGATAGAAGCCACAACAAATTAGCCAATCCAATTTTCTGTTTATGTACATGTGTCTGGCTTCATGCAAACTCATGCTGCACTTAGAACTACTAGGCAAGTAACGAAGATAGGGAGCCGAATACAATGAAATTATGTGGTCTTCAATTTCCAAAAAATTGAGAGTAACAAGTATGGCAAACAGTCCAGTATATAAGGTAGAAACTGGGTTATTAATTTTAATATACCTGTGTATGATAGTATCATCAGGCTGGGTTACGATAACAGAACTTCCAGCCGTCCCACTGTCAGTGTTAAGGGAACCATCAGCATAGACGGTCTGTCAAATTTTTGTCCGCAGGTCGTGTGTGTGTGTGTGTGTGTGTGTGTGTGTGTGTGTGTGTGTGTGTGTGTGTGTGTGTGTGTGTGTGTGTGTGTGTGTGTGTGTGTGCGCGCGCGCCAGATTATTGGATTTAGAGATTTGTCGAAGACGAGGATTTTGTGTGATTAATATGGTAGGAGAGTAGGTGGATGTGGTGGTATCAGATGTTATCTGCCAGGATGCTGTGGAAATGTTTTCTTGGATAACAGTTCTTGTAATGCAAATATTTTTGTGTGTGACTGTTATTTGGATCAATTTCAATTCACTTGTCCTATATCTTGGGTTTCTAGATATTCTTTTAAAGAAAACATTATTTTGATTAGGCAGTAATTCCAGTCCTAATATTAATTTCGCGTTATTCTCTCAGCAATTTTACGTATACCTACTTCCTAGTATTTTGGTATTTTTATTAAGACTTATCTAAAAATATATAAAATTATCTTTAACAGAACTGCGAAACACACACACACACACACACACACACACACACACACACATGATAAAGCTCATGGAATAGGGAGTGTGTAGGCCTAGCAGCGACCAACGATGAGGCGGGGCCTGGAGCTGTGAATCGACCCCTGCAACCACATATAGGCGAGTATAAATAGGAGAGTACACCCCACAATGTTCTCTTGAAATAGATTTTTATACGGATTAATAACCGGAATGGTTAGTAACCCGGGATAACCCCCAAAAAAGCCAGTGTGTCTTATATCAATATTGGGATCGTATGGTCCTCTTTTGCAAGATGCTAACATTCAGGTACCTACTTAATGTTATGTAAAAATGGGTAATATGGTGAAGGAAATATGCTGATAGATTCTACTTTCCCCTTGATCAAACCCAGGTCCTTCGGTTGTGAGCCTCGAGTCACTATACGTAATGTTAAATTTACCGCGTCACATCGACAGTCACCCGCGGTTCCTACTGTCACCTTGAGGGACTCCGCTCTTTCATCTAATATCTTCAGGTGGAGTATGAGACTACCTTAGTGAAATCTTTATCTACAGTGTCTCCAAGGAACATGGAACGGCCCCCGGAACACCCTCCAGGTAAGGATAATCTCCTTTACCCTGATCTCGAGGTACCCGGAGGGAAATATTATTGATACAGTCCCAAAACATCGGTTCAAGATCACCCAACCTTCCTACAGGAGTGAGTCATCACTTCAGCTAATATCCAATCTTCCTTCAGGTTCCCCATCCCTCCTAATTCCCATCCTCCCTGTTGCTTCCCATTCCTCTAATTCCCCATACACCACTCGCTTTCCTGTCAAAATCAAATTAATTTTTAAAGGGGTTGAGGGGTAAGCCAGTGGAAGGCCTCGGTCAAATGACCAAAAGCTGCAGTGGCGGGTCATCATATGACTAAGACCGGCGTCAGAAAACACTTGTCCTGTTTCCTGACCAATCTTACCTAACCTACAGATGTGAGAAAGCGGGGGATATTTTTTTACACCTGCAGCACATATTTGGGACAGAGGTGATGGCCGCTATTTCAGAAACGAGAATCTGAACTCTGACGTTTATTTTTTAGGCGAATGTTTCTTCAAGGTGCTGCCGCTGCAGAGATTTTTGTATCTGTGAGGCTAACGTGAAGACTTACTGGGCATTATATACCGCCACACCCATGGTTACTGGGCATTATATACAGCAACGCCCATGGTAACTTGGCATTATGTACCGCCTCACCCATGGTAACTGGGCATTATATACAGCAACGCCCAAGGTAACTAAGCATTACATACCGACACACCCATGGTAACTGGGCATTATATACCGACGCATCCATCGTAACTGGGCATTATATATCGACACACCCATGGTAACTGGGCATTATATACCGACACACCCATGGTAACTGGGCATTATATACCGATACACCCATGGTAACTGGGCATTATATACCGACACACCCATGGTCATTATATTCATTTATGTCCCTGACATGTGTACAACATGAAACATGGAGTTCAATAAGACTAAAATTTACAATACCGTAGGTGGAACAATTCACAAATAAGTCGCACTTGGAAAACTTTTGACGACGTTTGTGTACGTCGTGGATCAGTCAAGTCACCAACAAACTTGACAGTGGCCCAGGGAGGAAGAAACGTCGTTATACGTATCCTCTAAAGTGCGGGTTCCTTGCGAACTGCGAACATTGATTGCAGCTCCCCTGAAGCGAGGTATATGTAGTCGTACTCATTACCTTGTGGGTCAAGGCAGCCACTAGACGAGTCTAGGCCCAGAAACAAGATTAAACAACGAGATGACATCTTTGCTAAGGAGGGTCTATCAGTAACATTATATACCGGCAGTGTTAATGTGACGCAATATGTTGTTTATGGCACTTTGAGCAAAGGTTCGTCCACCAAGTACTTTATTCCTGATGGACAAAAAGGCTTCTCAATAAAAGGCCATAAACTGCATATTGCGTTTTTATTATCCTCTGCTAGAGAGTGTGATGGGAAATCTGTGAATTCTGGCAGGCCAACTCTGCTACCCCAGCATCACTAACCCTACCCAGGAAAAGGGGGAAGTATTTTCCATTGTCCAAGGGTAAATTTGGGGAAAGGGGAGAGAGAGGATGAAATATGCAACTTTTTAATCGTGTTCGCATGTCTCCATATAAACGTAGCTTGAGAGGGGTGGAAATGGGTTAAAGGCCACAGGTGAGATTTCCTCTCCTTGAGGGCAGAGGGCGGGGCACTGCCCCTCCCTCTGGAGATATAACATACGAGTGGATGAGAAGTTAGTGTTGGAAGCACCACCTGACAGGCCGCTCACTTTCTCCGCCCCGGACTCCACTCCCCAGGATTTTCTACACTCCAGCGGTTGCTACTTTTGATAATTCCTCCTGATAGGGGCCTCTTTAGTTCCCTCTGTAGGACACCTGTGGCTCCTGCTGCCCGGGAGGAGTCGTAGCCTCGGCAGTTGCTATTTGCTTAATCAAGAACGTTGCAAATTTCAACACCAGGTTAATTTAGTGCGGTCCACTGAGCTGACGAACCTCTGTATTAAGTACCATAGCACCAGCTGGCCTTGACGACACACACCTGACGGCAGCCAACAGGGTTGTAGCAGCAAACTCACCAGGCGAGGAGCAGAGGGAGAGACAAGCCAGGCCCCTTGTTAGAAGTGAGTAGTTGCCGGAGGTGGCAGTGTGGAGGCTGTGGCAGGTGGCTGGGCTGACCTGCAGTTACCACCAGCCAGCCTACATAACGCCAGCCTCCGCGTCACAGGTTTTCACCTAGCGGAACATACAAAGCCTGTGGGTTTTCCGTGACGGCGTCACACGCTACACCCCCCTTCACACATTAGCAAAATACAGGGGGGAGCTAAAGTCCCCCCACACACTCTATCACTACAGCTGTACGACTTTAGCATCTCTCTAAATACGAGATTCAACTATTTTTTTTTTAGATATATATACAGTATATCGCCACGAGGTAGAGGGGAGGATATTTACTCGACACGACAGAGGGTAGGGGTCGAATGGTGGTGGGTGATAGTGTCAGGGGCAGAGAGAGGCACTCACAGATGACACCATCACACAACAACCAACATCCACCCTGCTGCCTCGACCACTACTGACTGGCTGAACTCTTCTCTCACCACCACCGCCCGCTAGCCCAGCGACCTGCCCTCCCCTACCCCGCCCACACTGCCCCAACCCCGCCCACACTGCCCCTACCCCGCCCACACCTTGTCTCACCCACCCATACCGCAAATACACCGCCCACACCGGCCTTTCTCGAACAACGAAATAGCTACAATCAACACCTGGCGGCTATCAAGCAACACCTGACGACTGTCAAGCAACACCTGGTGACTGTCAAGCAACACCTGGTGACTGTCAAGCAATACCTGGTGACTGTCAAGAAATGCCTGGTGACTGTCAAGAAACACCTGACCATACCCCCGGCCGGGATTGAACCCGCGGTCATAGAGTCTCAAAACTCCAGCCCGTCGCGCTAAGCCACTAGACCGTCTAGCCACAATAAGATTCATCCAACTAGGTATATTTCTACACCATAGGAAAGTTAGCACAGGCACCTCTGTGACCACAAATGCAAGTTTTTACAGACGAATCTCCAGCTAGCGTGGCCGTGACGAACTCTAGCTCAAGTCCCTTCACTGCCGTCAACATGACTTAAGAAATCGTAAATGACACGATTGCCAAATAAACGCATAACCCCCGGCCGGATTGAACCCCGGGCCCTTTAAATCCCCAAAACTCCACCGTCGCGCTAGCCACTAGACCACTAGCCACAATAAGATTCATCCAACTAGGTAATTCTACACCATAGGAAAGTTAGCACAGGCACCTCTGTGACCACAAATGCAAGTTTTTACAGACCGCGGGTTCAATCCCGGCCGGGGGTATGGTTTATTTGCAATCGTGTCATTACGATTTCTTAAGTCAAACACCTGACTACTGTCAAGCAACACCTGACGACTGTCAAGCAACACCTGACTACTGTCAAGCAACACCTGACTGCTGTCAAGCAACACCTGACTGCTGTCAAGCAACACCTGGTGACTGTCAAGCAACGCCTGACTACTGTCAAGCAACACCTGACGACTGTCAAGCAACACCTGGTGACTGTCAAGCAACACCTGACTACTGTCAAGCAACACCTGACGATTGTCAAGCAACACCTGACGACTGTCAAGCAACATCTGACGACTGTCAAGCAGCACCTGACGACTGTCAAGCAACACCTGGTAATTCAAACATTGATGTCTGAATTAACAGAGAAACCCAATATTAACTTTTTATTTTAATCTGAACCTACATACACCCTATCCCAGACTCAAAATGGTGATGCAGAATATTTACAAACATTCTCTCAGAATCGGTCAAGACTCGAACCAGCGCATTCTTCACTGCAGCCGTAGCCCAGTGGTGGGAGTCGCGTCTCTCACCACTTAGGTCCGGGGGTCGAATCTCTGGACCCTTGTGAGTTTAGCGCATGGTTATGATTATAACAGTAATAATAGTAATAATAATAACAATAGTAATAATAATCATAGTAATGATAATAGTAATAGTAATAATGATAGTAAAAATAGTAATAATAATAGTAATAGTAATAATAGTAATAGTAATAATAGAAAAGTAATAATAATAATAGTAATAATAGTAATAATTAATAATAATAATAATAATAATAATAATAGTAATTATAGTAATAATAATAATAGTAATAATAGTAATAATAATAGTAATAATAGCAATAATAATAGTAATAACAGTAACAATAATAATAATAGCAATAATAGTAACAATAATATTAATAGTAATAATAGTAATAATAATAGTAATAATAATAATAGTAATAATAGTAATAATAATAGTAATAATAATAGTAATAATAGTAATAATAATAGTAATAATAATAGTAATAATAGTAATAATAGTAATAACAATAAAAATAGTAATAACAGTAACAATAATAACAGCAATAATAATAATAATAGTAATAATAATAATAACATCAGTGTGCAGGTCTGCCACTCAGCTGGTCCTCACATAACAACATCAGTGTGCAGGTCTGTCACTCAGCTGGTCCTCACATAACAACATCAGTGTGCAGGTCTGTCACTCAGCTGGTCCTCACATAACAACATCATGTGCAGGTCTGTCACTCAGCTGGTCCTCACATAACAACTCAGTGTGCAGGTCTGTCCACTCAGCTGGTCCTCACATAACAACATCATGTGCAGGTCTGTCCACTCAGCTGGTCCTCACATAACAACATCAGTGTGCAGGTCTGTCACTCAGCTGGTCCTCACATAACAACATCAGTGTGCAGGTCTGTCACTCAGCTGGTCCTCACATAACAACATCAGTGTGCAGGTCTGTCACTCAGCTGGTCCTCACATAACAACATCAGTGTGCAGGTCTGTCACTCAGCTGGTCCTCACATAACAACATCAGTGTGCAGGTCTGCACTCAGCTGGTCCTCACATAACAACATCAGTGTGCAGGTCTGTCACTCAGCTGGTCCTCACATAACAACATCAGTGTGCAGGTCTGCCACTCAGCTGGTCCTCACATAACAACATCAGTGTGCAGGTCTGCCACTCAGCTGGTCCTCACATAACAACATCAGTGTGCAGGTCTGTCACTCAGCTGGTCCTCACATAACAACATCAGTGTGCAGGTCTGCCACTCAGCTGGTCCTCACATAACAACATCAGTGTGCAGGTCTGTTACTCAGCTGGTTCTCACATAACAACATCAGTGTGCAGGTCTGTCACTCAGCTGGTCCTCACATAACAACATCAGTGTGCAGGTCTGCCACTCAGCTGGTCCTCACATAACAACATCAGTGTGCAGGTCTGTTCACTCAGCTGGTCCTCACATAACAACATCAGTGTGCAGGTCTGTCACTCAGCTGGTCCTCACATAACAACATCAGTGTGCAGGTCTGTCACTCAGCTGGTCCTCACATAACAACATCAGTGTGCAGGTCTGTCACTCAGCTGGTCCTCACATAACAACATCAGTGTGCAGGTCTGCCACTCAGCTGGTCCTCACATAAGACTAAATCATTGTAAAGAAACTACTGATTTTTTCCCCTTCAACACATTAACAATAATTTACAGATCTAACTTTGGAAATTTATCTGAAGCGTAAATTTTTATTCAATATAAAATAAGCCATTGCAATTGCTTTGGATTTTTATCCTCTGGAAGCTTCAGATTTTTGTAGTTTCCAAAAATGGACCCAAAAAATAGAGATTTATTTGGGCTTAAAATTTATCAACTTTTTTTTTTTTTTTTTTTTTTTTCTATAAAAGAAAAAAGACATTTGCAAGATTTGGGTATCTTTTTTTCCGAAACGTTTCGCCAACACTGTTTGGCTTTTTCAGTCGAACACAGAGGCAGCAGCAGTAGAGATGTGAAGACTAAGTAATCAATCCATTACACTCGATGACGCAGTTTTGAGGTGGTCAGTCCCTTCATTCTCTATTTCAATTTCGCCCCTTCTTATGTAGAGCTCTAACATCTGAAGAACATTCTCCTCTAATACCTTGTTTAGAGGAGGATCTTATAGCACTACTCCCATTAAGGAGGGTTTCTTCCTCCATTTTCTTATTCGCTTAGCGGATCGAGCCTTCACTATTCCATGTGCTGAATAACCCACATGGGTTTAGCCCTTCATATAAGTCTAATCTAATCCCTCTTTAAAACGATTCTGGATGCTACAATTCACAGGAAAGTCGTTTGTCTCCACACAGCATCTGACCCCTTAGTCTTATCTTGAATCATTAGTCTACCTAGGCAAAGTTAAATCCATTCCCTTCCTCTATCTCTACTTCCATGTGTCTTGCCCCTGGGACTCATTTTCACTAAATAGTCTAAGAAACTAATGTATCATAATTGTGTATGAGCCCAAGCACAAATATACACAAATTAAGAAAGGGATTATAGTTGAGTTTCAGTGGATTCCTTCTCACACAGGCCTGCAGGCGCATGCCAAACTAGCCGCTCGGACAATTCAGATCTAACAAAATCCATCCTGGCGTAACCCAACCTACACTGACCTAACATAGCCTAACTTAACCTAAAATAATAAAAATCTGTAAATAGGTAATGTTCAGAAACCGACACTCGACAAAGCGTCAGGAAACGAACGGTGTACGAAGAGGATGAACCGAACGCAGCGCTGGAGATTCCCGGCTGGTGGACGAGCACTGATGTGCAACATGGAACAACATCGTCTCTCCCACCATGATAACATCGCCACCTGGAGCACGAGACACAGTAACCATGACGTGGTATAAACCTTGATAACAGATACCCACAAACTGGCTTTTAAAACACAAGTGAGTAAACACTAGGACATATTTATTAAATAACGTTTCGGTCCTGGGGATCTTGATTAGGGGTCCCAGGACCGAAAAGTTTTCTTTTTAAACTACTAAACATGACGTGTCTCCTCCTTTAGACTCCACGCCTCTCTATCCACCTTTTTTAAGCTAATAATGAATAAATATAGAAGTGGAAGTCACCGGGTCCCATTCTTGGATGGTACGACGATATTCAGCTCCGTGACGGAATGTTTATGTTGGGGATGGAGTCATTATTGTGTGACAGGAAATAAGCAGAGGTATCTCTTCGTTTGCACGTATACCAGAAGCAGATTGTTGTGATTGTTGTGGTTCTTGTGCTTAATGTGGCTGGTTTTATGGCTGTGGTTTTATTATGCGAAGCGCTAAATCCCCGTACGTCATTTAACACAATAAAATAGCCAGCTGCCTCGTCCCAGGACAGACAAAACACACTCACCCAGGAACGTAAAGATGATGGTTCAATAAATTTCTGGTTTGACTCTGGGAGTAAGAGACACTGATGGTGCAATTACCTCGCGGTGAGAGCCAGGTGATGGAGAAGAATTTCTATTGAGTGACTTGAGTGAGAGAGAGAGAAGAGATATCGACTGACAGACCCACCGGGGTGCCAGCTCTCACTCTTCTGTCCACGCCACTCTTGTTATTAATGGTGCACTGTATCGACAAGTTAGTGAGACATGCGCAACACTTCAGTATCTTTTCTTGCCAA